TAAATGCTAAAGTAAACTTCTCCAAATTATATATTGAGTCAATTATTTATTATCTTATTTTACTTCCTATCAAGATTCTATAAATCAATATAAATTTGGTATAATGTCCATTAACTTATTATGTATCTCACATGATAGAAGATTGCCAATTTGAATTATGTCTTGGATTTTCAAATAACTGTTCTTTTCTCTGAAACAAACAACCAAAAAAAAACTGAAAAAAAGTTTACAAGAGTAGTTTTTCTCAGTCTGTATATGGGTTTCCTAAGTGCACTTAACCATAGAATTGAATAATAATCTGATAATATTAAGCCATTTAAAAATATAAACTTGAAATAGATGTCATATGCCATTTAACCATTTTGTAAAGTGATTGATTTCAGTGGTTTTTTTGGTAAACCCGTACATACAATTTTTGTTTGCATTAATTAACAGACCCATTCATGTCCCCTAATTACACCATTTAATTAAAAATTGTTCTACTTTCAACAAGTTATCCTGCTATTCATAGATATTTTTTCTTAACTCATGTAATAGTAGCTAAGTAAAAACTAAATTTTTATTCTACAATAATATCTATGTAAAGTTGGGTATAAGGTAAACAACAATGTACAAACTAGTGGCGCAATATTCCAATTTTAGAGCATAGAAAAGGAATAAGATAATTTTCCCCATTTTCAATGAAAGAAAAGTAATGTAATGTTAATATTATCTGTTTCTTATATGATGTAGTAGAAATCTGAATGATATTGTCTCCATAAATTTTATGTATGAAATTATCTAAGGGCTTTTATAGAAACGTATAAAATTGACTATAAACTACGGTTTGACCTGTTTAAGTATAGTACAGTTGGAAATCATCACCCGTGCTAAACTGATCACATACAAATCTTCATGCCGCACTTTGTATTCTATGAGGAAAATCTGGAAAACAAATCTAATTTAAAAAACATGATGTTTGTTAAGTGTTTAGAACAGTGTCACATATAAATAATACATATTGGGGCAATGTTAATTATATTTATTTTCATTTTTAGATCAAATCCAAAAGTCTTTCTGTGAAAATTAGGAGAAAGGATTATTTTCTAAGAGAGTTAGAAAATTTTCTTTTTTGTGTATGTTTAATTTGGAGAGCAGTTCTGATCAGAGGTGCACAGTCATGTAAGTCCGTCATGGGTGCTCCTGCCTAACTAAGCACCAGGGCACAAAGATGCTTCAGATTCAACCCCAGTTCTTTGGAGGTTAAAAAAAAACTTATCTACATCATAATTTTATATTTACTATGCAATGTCTCAATAAAAATGAATAGTACAAAGACTGCTTTTTAAGACTGTTTCTTACAGGTTACATCAATTATGTGCTTTCTGTGGATAGTGGAGTACACGTGTACTTTCTCTTATACAAAAGGTATTTCGTAATGTGTAGTTGAAAGTGACATAATGTTGACAGGTAGCCAAACACTGTGATGTTCAGATTGAATGTTAAGATCACTGATTGGTAGAGTAATTTGATGGGAAATGATAGGCTGAATACCTGTGTTTTTTCTAGGCATTTTTGATCATACTTTCCTTATCACAGCTCATGTTCTGATGATCATTGCAGGATGAAGTGGCACAGCCACTGAACCTATCAGCTAAACCCAAGACCTCTGATGGCAAATCGCCTACATCACCCACCTCTCCCCATATGCCAGCTCTGAGAATAAACAGTGGGGCAGGCCCCCTCAAAGCCTCTGTCCCAGCAGCGTTAGCTAGTCCTTCAGCCAGAGTTAGCACAATAGGTAAGTTCTGTTTCTTTTGTTCTTGCTAATTTTCTGTTTATGGATATTGAATGAAATCATCTTTAAATGGCACATCACATAGACCCTGTGCATGGCTTGAGTTCTATAGGAGAGTTTCAATTTGAAGAACCACATAGGTCTGCTTTAAACATGCAAATGAAATTTCTCACTGAACTCAAAGTTATAATGTCCCCCTGAAAATCTAATTGTATTGGTTATATTTATATATTTAACTATGTCCATAAGTTTATGAAAAAGAGACCTAAATGACTAATGACAGTGAGCAGTGGTTCTAGAATGTTCTTGTGAGGTGACTTATCTTTTCCAGCACTGAAACTTATTTCTCTTTTTTTTTTTGTGATGTGTACAAAGTACACATAATGATGAAATGCATTTTGCCTGGATCAGCAATCAACCATCAGGGTGTGAAGTTTGTTCAGTTCCATTCTGCTTGAGAATTACTTGAAGACACTAAAGTATTCTAAAAGAGTAGATAGCTTAAATTCTCCATAACTGTAAATTCAGTAAATTGTAGAAGATATTTCTATAAGCTGACTTTGAAAAATTCAATCATTTTTATTTTAGTGTACTTATATTAGATTGTAAATGCTTATTTCAACCCACATGTATTGATATGTTTATTATTTGCATACAATTTCCAGGAGACTAGCATAGGTCAGCCAAAGTAGTTCATGGTTTAGTTGAGGAAATCATCCATCCTATAGTACAAGTCATCTGCAGTAAGTGCTGTTTTCAGAGCACAGATAACAATCCTATAGGCACAAAGAGGAGAGTGCTGGATTCTGTTTGGGAAGGATCAAGGAAGACTAAGTTGGAAATAGCCTAATTCAAACTGAGCCTTGAAGAAGCGATACATTTCTAAGCAATCTAGGCAGTAAGGAAAAACACAAAGTAAAACATCATGTTTTTGAGAAATATGCTGATTTTTATGGATTCTAGAATGAATATGTAGTGGAAAGTGATTAAAGCTAAAACTGTGAACCGGTCAAATGGAATCTGATTGAATGTTATCCTAAGGAATTTTGACTTTTTCCCCAGGCAACAGTGTCATCAGAACTTTAAGAAGACTGTTGGCAGAAGAAAGATATTGGAATAGAGGAAACCATTGTGTTAGTGTAGGGCAAGAGTAAGTTACATGAGACAAATAATCAATGATAAATTAAAGGAGGGAATAGATTGAAAAGATACTATTAAAGAAGAATTGACACAATGTGTCCACAATAGAATGTATCTGGTAGGGGTCCAGTTGTAGATAGCGGAGTCTAGGATTTTGAGTTTATAAAATAAGAAGGATTGTGCCTCCATTAACTATGAAAAGGGAGACCAGAATGGAAGCAGATTTGGGGGAAGATATAAAAATTTAATATGTGTTGAATTTGAAATGCAAGGAACCATTTAGGTAGAGATGTTCAAGAGAAAACTATAAATGTAAGTCTGATATGTAAGAGGGGTGCTAGCATTTTAGATATGGAAATTATTCCTTGATGATATAGTTGAAGTGAGGAGAACAAATAAGTTCACCAAAAAAGAGTGTGTCTGGTAAGAAGAGAAGTGGGCTGAAGAATCATAGGTACTATCTATTGTATTAGTTATCTGTCGCTTTCTAATAAATTAACCTAAAACTTAGCAGCTTAAAAGAGCCAGCATTTATTATCTCAGTTTCTAAGGGTCAGCTTAGCTGGGTAGTTTTGGCTTAGGATCTCTCTCATATGATTGCAGTCAAGATGTTGGTCAGAGGTGCAGTCATCTATAGACTTTACTGGGGATGGCTGATCCATTTCCAAGATGACTCACTTTCACGGCTATTAGCTGGAGGCCTCAGTTCTTTGTGACATGTGGCTGTAACCTTCCTCAGAGCGAGTGATCCAAGGAAGAGAGCAGAAAGAAAGACACAGTGCCTTTTATGACCTGTTCACAGTCACCCACAATCAGTTCTGTTTTATTCTGTACCTTATAAGAAAATCACTAAGTCCAGCCTAATTCAAGGCAAGGGGAATTAATCTCCAACTCTTGAAGGAAAGAGTGTCAAAGTATCTTTGGACATATTTTAGAATCACCACCCTTTTTTAGGTGGAAAACTGAGTATTTTAGAATAAGAATGAAATGAAGAGCAAGTGGGTGTGTTAGAATAAGAATGAAGATGGAGCAGTGTCATGCTAGCCTAGGAAAACCAAAAGTTTCAAAAAAGAGGGATCATTTACTGGTGACACATTCTGCAGGAAAGTTAAAGAACATGAAAAAGAAAAGCCTTAGAATTTAGCTTAAGTTCACAGATAGATACATTCTGACGGATAAGTTTTAGTAAAATGGTTTGAACAGATTTCCAATTACAAAGATTTGAAGGATATGAGGAAAGAAAGTACAGTTGATGATATAGACTAATCTTTTTGTAAGTTTGGTGTTGAGAAGTGATTATAGTTTGAGAGGACTGAGTAGAAACAGGTTTTAGAATAGGAACATATATATATATATATATACATATATATATGTATATATTCCTCTTCAAGGGGGAAGAGGAAGAAGAGTTGGAGAGATGAGTACAAGGGTGACAACATATCAAGGAGACGATGAGAAAGGATTAGCCTTGAAAGGAGAAAAGCCCCTTCTTTTTTCTGAGACTGAAGGAAATGAAGAGAAAAATGGTAAAGTTTCAGAGAAATTTTTGGATGGACAGAATGAAGGCTGAAGGAGTATGTTTCAAATGCTTTAATCTCTGCAAAGTAGAATTCCAGATTATTTGCGAAGAGGAATTTACTCTGGGGCAATGAGGTATCAATGAGAAGAGAAACAGGGAAAACTGAAGTTTTGGAAAGCTTGAAAAAGTTTTGGGACACACATGTGCTTTTTCATCGTTATGGTCTAAATATGAGTTACTCTGCTCAACATCCTAAATGAGCACCAAGATTAGAGTTGCTTTTAGGAACTAAGTATGTAAAAGAAAAAAAATTATATTTGGCAAGAAAGATTCACTTCCATAATATATATGAAGGCTCAGGAATATCACAATGTTGGTATATGAGCTACTATAATAATGTTACTAGAACTAGAATATTTAACTAATAGACTGATGTATTTACATTTTTATTATATATGAATATTTTTACTTTGGCATTCCCAGGGATTAAGTATGACAGTATTTTAGAAAGGCAAGAACATATTCAATGACATTTTTAATGACTATTTCTACTACTAAAACAGCTTTTTTTTTTCTGAAAAGTCCCTTCATCACATACGCATCCCTCATATTTTCCAAGGATTTGAGGCCACTACAATTTACTTTTCTCTTTTCAACAAATGCAGATGTTGAAAGCTAAACTTTAATGAGTAATAATGTAGTTGGATAAAAGCTGTGAGGATTAATGGTGTTGTAAAGGTCAACCCTGAAAGAAGAATTAGTGTGTTACTCCATTTATAAACCATGGAAAACTGTGGACCAAAAGATAACTTAAGTTATCATTAATGACATGGGGCTCTTTGCTATATATCTATTAGCTACGAATATAGAAAGTGACTTTTTTGAGGTTGGTGACCAATATTACAGTGTATTTCATAAGAATCCTTTTGATATGGTACACAAATGATAGGAGCTCCAAAGAAACGGAGTCCTTAAAAGGCATAATAGTTCAGAAGAATGATGGATAATTTTAGAGTCTTTTAACCAGATGTTATTTTTCCCTTATTGGCTTTTTCCACCTATATTATACATATGTATAACACTTTTTATTTTTTTCCAAGCATCTTATTCATCTGTTTTCTCACTGCAGCTGTTCTAGAATTAGAGACCCTTAACAGTTAGACTACATATCCATACAATCTAGTCAAAACTTATTTCGATAAGGAACACAAACCTAAAGAGGCGTTTACCTACAGTTTTGAAGTAATTTCCTGTCACAGTGTAGATAATTCTATGATTCTATGTTTATTAATTCTGTTTCAATTTTAAGGAAACAAATGTACATGAAGATCTAATAATTTGTCCAGACTCACAACCAATGGAAGTTGGGGCATTACAACCATAGGGTATGGGTTGGCATCCTTTGTTTTTAGTTATTGTCTTTTGGTAACCTCTATGCATTAGAAGCTCTTCTCAGTCATTTATCCTTTCACTCATCCATCCAACAAATGAGAATTAAATACTTTCTGTATGCCATACCTTTTTCTAAGTCTAGAGGATAAGCAGATGACAGTCTTGGACTGAGGCTTTAGGTGCCTATAGTCTCTGTCCTAGCATAGCTTTGGAACATATTGGAATGTATTATTCTTACCCTTCATTCTTCAGAGGCATTAACACATGAAAATTAAAACTTTACCTGAGCAAATGTAGTAGATGCACATTGACTAAATAAAATGAAGGGAAATATTTTCAAGTTCCTTAATTGGATACTTTATTTCTACAACTTGCTAATTTAAAATATGACATGAAGGAAGATATTATTTTGAAGTTTCATTAGCTTATGTTTTTAATGAGCAAAGCTTATACAGAGGTTTTAATGAGAGAAATTTTTGTATGTGGGTAGGCAATTGAATGAATGAAAAGAATATTGTAATTCATAGAAAGCCATTGGATTATCAGAAAGTTAGGGATATCATTCAAAGACATCTGGCAATTAATATTTTCATAGCATTTTACAGTTTACATATTGCTTTCACATGTACTATCTAATTCTTGTGAGCTTTCACAGTTGAAAAAATGGCTACATATCAGGGTGCCAAAAATTTGATGATGATCAGTGACCGCAGAAATAGAAAAAAATTTAATATTTGTTGAAAATCACTTGAAACACATATGCCCTTACTTTTACTTACAGCTAAAAAGTCCTATATAAGATAAATACGTAGTAATAAGAATTTGTATTACCCTAATATCCTGGGTTAAATCCATGAATTTTAATAAATCTGTGCCATATGGTAAAGGCTTCTATTGATAAGAAGACAGAGATAGATAATCAATGAACTTGGAATTATAAAGGCAGATACTT